GGTGGTAATTTATATCGGTTTTTTTTGTAAATCATTGAAAACATTCAAATTGTATGAAGTTTTCAACAATAAGGTTATTACAGGAATTATTATTTTTCTCTTTTTTTTATGTAGGATTGAATAAAAATTATTAAACTCACCAGTCTGTGATTCTTTTACATGAGCAGTTAAAAATTGTACAGTACTTAATTTTTTTGTGTGGTTATTTTAACAGTAAAGAAGTGGAATCTGTGGGTGTGAATAAAATTTCTCAAACCATCAATATTTTTATTATTAATATTATTAAGAAATAAATCTGAATGACCAACTGTAAAACAGACATGAAGAAAAACTTGTGTTTGTTCCATTTATTGCCCACCAATGAACATTTTAACTCATAAAATATTTTCTATAGCATTGTATCTCATTTAGATGTCAACCAGCACAAATCTTTTAAATGACTGTAACAATATTGGAATTAATACTAAACAATTAACAGCACAGTGTAACAAGTTTCCTTATCATGAATAATTCAAGTATTGTATCAATTGAAAACAACAATAGAAACTATTAATTTGGTGGTACGATGCTCTAAGTGTCAATCAAAATCTGCAGACAATAGTGAAACTATGGATAGGCTGCCTGCTTTCCTATCTCAAGTCCTGGGTTTGAATTGATCCCCCTCAAAAGAGAAGACAAACTCCAACCCTTGAGCGCACAACGTATCTTCTCAAAAACCCAATTCATAATTAGAACTGCCCATTTTCGTATCCAAAGTCAATCGACATAAACACCATAAACGCAACAGAGGCTTGACCCTGAAACGAGGATGCGCAGTTCTGACTATGAATTGGCTTATTGGTGTTTTGAGTCTAGCCAAACATTTCCCCAAGGAAACATCCTAGACCTACAGTACCCCTTACAAACACAAACTTTCTATTCTTCAAATGATGACACAGTTGCTGAAGAGAAAATAAAATTTTAACATATTTAAAATAATAAACAAGAACAATAACTTTTACAGATACCATAGACTAAATTGCACCTTGAGTCTTAATTACATTGTATACATTTACATACACCTTAGCAAACATTAACATACACTGACCCATAAAAACCTAGATAACCACAAGCATAATTACAGCACACACACCAAAGAGGTTTCTGCCATGTGAACTGACATGATGTGTAAAGATCTGTCCATACTATCATTTTTTTTACAAAAAAAGCTTGTATGCCCATATATAGTCATGATGTGCACTTATATGGTCATGATATGATGTCATCATGATCATATTTAGTAGTTCTATGTGTACATGTAAGACAGATATGTTAGATGCTTGTTTCACTAGTCAAATGCCTGATTTAGAAACCATCTATGGAATATGAATTGCAATTGCTTTATGCTACATGAACACATCTAATTACATTTTATGGAAATATTTATCTACATAAATTTTTGCACCCAATTGACAAGTTTATAAATTGTCCGTGCTTTTACATACAATTTTAACTCAGGGCTACAAAGTGTGAAACAAGTCATAATAAAGAACAAAATGTTACAAGATGGAAGAAATATCTTCCGGGAGATGTGGTAAAAATTAGCTTTCTTAACATATTTTATTTTACTTTGCTGCGCACGATGACACGAAAGAGTATAGAGCTGCAAACGCTTCGACTCTCAAGGTTCCATTAAAATGAAATCCTATCTGAAAAAAAAAGTGCTATCACAAACTAGAGGGCATCCTTCAAAAAAACACTAAAAAGCGTAAATAGGGCGACCCCTCTCTCGTGGTAGTTCTTTTTTTTTAATGTTTCATTGCGTGCAAACAAAATCAGGCACTGACTTCCATAAGACAATTGATAATAAAGTATTAAAAACATGCAAACATGATGAACTTGCGTGAGATGGGTTATTTTCTAGGAGATTCTTGCTTGTGGGAGTGCGGAAGACTCCAGTGACTTCCAGAAGACTTTGGATGCCTGCACAAGAGAAGTGTTACACAGGACAGTGGACAATATTGTCTTTCTGAATCTGGTAATATTGCCATCAAATTTCAATACAGGATTTTGTACTGACAATGTAGGAGCCAGCACATCCTAACCAACAGTAATAGACATAAAGCATACTGAACTCCCAAATTGTATACAACACTGAAATTACACAAACAGGCAGTGATATTGGTAGTCTATGAATGCGATACTTATGTTGATGAACCGACATATACCTTTCCTATTTGGAACTTACCTCGAAAATAATAGAACCGGCACATTTAAAAGGTGTTTTATCATTACTACTTTCGTTTTTGCTTTACATGAAATCATGTCAATAATGGTAACTTATTGACAATTAATGAGTTTTCTGGATCTGCAGTCACACATGACTACGTACCAACTCAGATGAAAGTGATACAAGCCATCAGTCACACATACCCTGTACCAACTCAGATGAAAGTGATACAAGCCATCATTGACTCATTCAAGTCGTACATTTGCTAGCACAGAACGTCTGTCCTGGATGCATGTATCAAGAAACTTTTCTACATTGTCATGACATTGCTTTTCAGTCTTTATAATTTTTGAATATTACTTTTCCTTGTACAGTTTATGTATTTCAATTTGATTTTTGATATTGAAGTTTCTTCATTTTCTTTGTATCTTCTTGCAAAAACGGCCTTGTGAAGAACACCATTATAATAGTGATACAAGTTCTCTCTTTTTTAAAAATAAGGTTGTTTTTATATATATGGCCTTTCCCGATGAGTTTAGGTCCAAAGACAAAGAAAAACAATAATAAACAAATATGAGTTATAAAAGAAAATTTAGAATCTCTGCTGATGACAAAGACTGCGTAGTCTTTCACATTCAGCAACATACGCATTAGATGAGTAGGTGAAAAGGTTTACTGATTAATCTCAGATAAGAAGTATTGAAATAGACAATAGCATGTACTTCAATACTTGGGAGTAGGTATATACTTTCATATTATTATTATTACAGATATTACTGAGAGCCTCGGCATGCTGTGGCTGATATTGCTAAAGAATTACATAGGAAAGTTAATTCATAAATTTCTCCTAGGCTTAACCCAATGGTGATGTATACATAATATACTATATTTTATGAAGATTTTTTGTAAGCTATCATATTAGGCATTACATTAATATAGGCCTCAGGAGCTTGTGGTTTCCAAGATTCTACACCATAGCATTAGTTAATATGCACTGTCTTGATCAGATAATTCCATTATCGTTTTAAGTAAATTCCAAAGAGGCATAATCAGTTCATCCACCCACATAAATATTCAATAAATATTAAAAACTGATTCTTATATAAGGCACATAAGGATAAACAAAAATTGCACTTTGTATACATTACAAGGATTTAGGTAAATATTTGCATAGAAATAAACATTTTTTAAAAATATTTAAAATATTTCATAATACATTATCAATCAAAACAAATATATAAAAAATATGGAATGTACAATCTGATAGGAAATTAATTATAAAAAATATTAATTTTTTTTAAATTGGCTTCTAAAAATGATTAAAATGTTTAATAAAATTCAATAGTGTGTATAATTACAAATAAAGAAGTAGCGAATTATATACAATAAATTGTATGCAAATTCAAAATCTTTGGAAGAAAAATATAATAAATTATTTATTAATGTTATTAAAGGTTTATCGAGTTATTAAACAAAATAATAATTATGTTTAACCTACTAAACTATTAAATATACAGAAATAGCACCAATTTATATATTACAAATATTAAAATGCATTTCCCTTTAAAAGTATAACTGCATGGAACTTAATCAGTAGTAGCAACACCAGGTTAATAATATAGGATATAGTTGGCACAATACGCATCATCTTCTGGGACGACCACAAAGCACCGGTAGATAAAACAGTCACCATGACACAACCTATCTGGTTCCATTCACCTCGTAGTTAGTTTCTACATTGCTCCTTACAACATTTCTGCTACAGACACGAAATCAGATTCAACTAACGCTCGTTTCAATGAGGACACTGTCGCAGCTATACCATTATCGTTTTTCCATTCTTTCAGTAGCTCTTCAGCCTATCGATAAAGAAAATATTATATTTTGTAAAATTCGACAGCTGCATTGACAAAATAATCATAAACCGTACATTAATGTATTACATCGAGGACTCAAAATGGAGTGTATATCTCTGCTAGATTATTTTTCACTTTTCACAACTTTGATTTTTTACCTTTTCACCCCAAAATTTAATCACCTTTCCTTAAAACAGGGGTGGGCATAAAAATCGGTCAGAAGGCCAAAGTAAATTTTTGATTTAACAGGAAGGGCCACACCCAAACTTTGATGTTTCCAGTGTGCTTTCAAAAACATCCAAGCATGGCTTTACACTACTTTATTCCCAGTTTTTTAATATGACTTTTTATAGATGATTAGTGTCGGGCCGTAAAAAACAAGGTGTTTTCTAGCCAATGTTGCTTGGCGGGCCGCATACATAAAGTTTTTTATTCATTTTCGCAGGCCATTTTGCAGAGATTTTTTTGGGCTCGAACAGGGCCCTGAAAAGAGTAAGTTACTACTACGATACCTGTTGTCTTTTGGTGACAAAGTTGTCCTGCAGATCTTTCACTTCCATCTGTGTGAAGCCTAACTTGTTGGCAAACAGCAGCCAGTCCTTATCATACACATGCTTTGCCACTGCCATCAACTGATCGTCGGTGGCTACCGGACCACTCAGAGACGTTGGCCGTGCTACCTTTTTAACTGGTGTCTGCAAGACAAACAAAAATGTTACTTATTTATGATTCAAGTTGGTAATAAATAACTACAATGGAACAATATTTTGGGTTAGCACCAAGTCTTAGTTTTGTGATATAAACAATCATTGTCCACATCCACGATTTTGAATAAAATATGATAATATAATTTGTCAGTTTTGTAATCATACTTAATAAGTCAATCAATTAGGGTAATTAAAGTGGTGTAATCAACCAATTAAAAACATAAATCAACCAATTAAAATAACAGTCAGAAAAACAATTTTCATTCACAATCATCAGCATTTCAGTAGCATGTTTATAATAACCTGACAGCCTAAGGAGTTTATGATATTAAAAACAGATGTTCAAAAAAGTATTAACAGCATACAATACTTTAACAATTCAAACGATATGAGATAAATTCTTTTTTCTTTTTTACAGTGATTTTTAATTTTAACCATGGTGTTCCATACTCATTTTACATATTTTTTATTGTATTATATCTTATTTATTCTTGGACAGTTTGTCAAATTTGTAATAAATAAATTATAAACTGATGTTTCAAAACATCATACAGTACTGTCATTATATTTGGTTAAATTACTAAGTTAAAACAAAATTCTTTGTAAATGTTCTGCAAAGGTAAGAAAGACTTGTTTACTTTCCATTGCTATTAACATATTGTATCTTTCTTACGTTATAGTACAGGAAGAGAAACATTTTATATATTAAAATATTGATAAGCATACAACACTACTAGAAAGACTAATATCAAACTTCACAGTTTCTATATATATATTTTAACAAATTTTTAAAATGTATACATTATTTCCTCTATAAAATTTTTACTCAAATTTGAATTAAACTGTAAATTATCTCATACATATGTACAGTATGCTGTTTGTATTAATTTTGTGAAAACAAAGAATCATAATTCAGGTATTTCTACTGGTATATGATATTTCAAACCGGAAATATGCAAATACCTGGTCTAATGTTCTACTGGTACAGTATTATTGTTTGTAGTTTATTCTAAATATTTTCAGCCTTGAACAACAAGGTTGGCATAAATGGCAGAGATTTCAAATTTTCAAGATGAAATGGTTAAACTTTGGTTAATGACAGTGGCAGCGCCAGTGTCTGAAATC